TACAGGGGGGCTTGTCTCAACCCATAATTTGATATTTTGCAAAAGCAGAGCATTTGTGTGCGGGAGTGCGTCTCCGAATACTTCCTGGGTGCTCGCCGGAGACGTCTCCGAATATCTTCTGCCTTTACAGCAGCCGCTCTTTTTCCTCTGTAAAAACTTTACTATGGCGCCCAAATGAAGAGCCAATCACAAGTGTCCCTATAGTTGAGAGTATTCGCAACTTTTACGTTGCCCTTAATTCTGCTCCAGATTGAATCAAACGGTGCGCACCACACTGAATCGAGATTACGTCAGAGTGCGGTGGTGAATTTTAGTGCAATAGGCTACATACGTTTATGCTATCAAACGACTCCCAGATTTTGGTTAGATCTAATTTTGGTTGAGAAGTTTAAAATCACAGTCAAAGTCATCTCATTTCTAACGACAACATGTCAGAAAAATACAGTTTTATAATTTTTCAACTTTTAAATCGTACAATTTCTGCTGGCTTTTCCCATGCTTAGGTTATCAGTGCTTTGGGTTTATTTCGAGGATGGAGACATACGGGTAGTACAACGTGTAAATTACTGTGGTTGAAAATAAAGGAAAAATATCCAGATTTGTAAAATCCTTAGTCTGACATTGACGGGCATGAACATTTCTTTTAGCTTAAGACTCTTGAATGGATCCTCTTTTCCACTTGACTGTTCATTCGGACTTTGTTGGTTCGGATCTATTACGCCAGCTGATATCAGTATGATATAAAAAATATGATACTCGTTATGGTGGTAGACCATGATTTATACCATACTTGGATTTGTTTTAGCATTGCACTTTTGGTAAAATAAATCCTTATACGTGAAACATAGGCCTAGGACAAAGCTGATGATATCTCACACGTGAAATATAAAAAAGTGCATAAACTACTACGCGCACTATATTCGCCTTCTAACCTTTTGCAAGCAAAGTATAGACTTAAATCATAATATTCCTTAACTGTGCAATGTTATGGCAGTCGTGTTGTGCCCTCTGTAAAATCTTAGAGCTAAGCCTGCTCACCAAAGGTGTCCAAATGAAGTGCCAAACACCCAAAGAGGTAATAAATAGAACCTCTTTGCAAACACCCCAGTCTCTCACTGTCCCCAAAGTAGTAGTAGTGGAGAGTAGGCGCAATTCGCTACATTGCCCTTAATTTTGTTGCAAATTGAGTCAAACGGGGTGCACCATACTGAATCGGTATTACGTTAGAGTGCAGCGATGTGTTTTAGTCCAAAGAGGTTATATTTGGTTTTAGTCAAAGAGATTATAATAATAATATTTATAACCTCTTTGATTTTAGTGCAATGCTAGCAAGTCTATGCCTATGCTAGCAAACGACTCCCAGCCTTTGGTTTGTTTTGATTGCAAATTTGAAATCAAAGTTATCTCTATTCTCACGACAATATGTCATATAAGTGCAGTTTCTTAATTGTTCAACTTTTGAATCGTACGTTTTCTGTTTGTTTTTTTGCCTATGCTTACGTTATTATTGTTTTGTTTGGAGTTTATTTCGCGGAGGGGGGCATACGGGTAGCACAACATGTACATTAGCGTGGCTAAAAGTAAAGGAAAACAATCCAGATTTTCTCCAATCCTCACTCTGACTCAGACGGGCATGAACATTTTGTTTTCATGTGAGAATCTTTAATGTATCCTTTTGTTCAATTGGCTAGTCATTTGAACTTTGTTGGTCCGGATCTATTTCGCCAGCTGATATCAATATGGTATAAAACCTTTTATTACACTCGTTATTGTGGTAGACCATGATTTATCCTACTTGTGAAATTGTCAATTGCAATCACTCGTTGATGATCTGCTACTACAACTCATGTTATGAAATTCTGTTATCCTACTTGTAAAATTGCCAGTTGTAATCACTCGTTGAAGCTAATGACTGCACGATCAGCAGGCAGACCCTCTAATGGATTCTGGAGAGGAGGGAGGAGCGGCTGCCTGAAAAGACGCCTATTCTCATTTCAAATGAGTAACCAAGTAAGTAAGCTAATGACTACAACTTGGCAATTTCACTCGTAGGATATAATTATCAAAGGCTAATCTATCACCATAACTCATGTAATACATTCTTTGTATGCGTTTATAT